ATCATATATAGAGGATAAAATATATCGCCTAAATCACACATTTAATTTGTGTTGTTCACTTGGATAATGGTTGAGAGTTCGAGTCTTGGAGTTTTCATTTGAGTTTGGTGATTGATCGTTATACTAGTCTAGTTAAGTCTGATTCTGATAGGTGTTTCAAGAACGATTAAGGATTTAATGATCCAACTAATGAAAGCCTAATGATCCCACTAATGAGGGCCCAATAAGGTGGTCGCTAGACGCTCGTTCTTGCTCCCACCTTTTTGTTTAACCAGCAAAAAAAAAAAAAAGTAATGGCGTCATGAAATATGAACCAAGTATAACTATGCCTTAGGTATGCATTTGTATAGTAGCATTACAAACTTATATCGTCAACTCTCACTAACATACAGACATTTACACAAAGTTATTTAAGGACTTAGGAATGTATGCCAATTGTTTGATGTTTGCCACTATATTTACATATCGGTAGGAAGTATCTAAGATATCTTAGGCATATCCCTCCTCACCCCGATTCTTTTACAACCAAAGCCTAGGATATCAAGACAATAAAGCTATCTAAGATATGATACTGACACCATGGATTTAAAGCAATGCCTACCTTTTGCTCTATATTCTCCATTCATCTCATTTTCCTTTCAATAAAAATTTGATGAAACCCTAATCAAAAACATATATTTCATTCCGATAATTGATAATCGTCTCAATCATGCACTTTGTACTCATGGTTGCGGCATAAACTCGGAATGCAAGTCATTACCTTGCATGAATCATGTTAATTATGGTGTCTCTTACGAAATTTAAACTTAAAACTTTCAAGGTAGTAGTATATATGTTTAAGGCCTTTCTATCCGGTCTATTCTAACAATCGAGTCAATAAAATAATACATTAATTTGTTCGAAGGTGCCGGAGAATATGCTTATGAGTTATGAGAAAGAATACTAGTGTGGCATGTTAAAGGACCATAACAAGAAGAGTAAACAACACAAGTTTTGAATCTAAGAGAGATGCTCATCCAAAAAGAATAGTCAATTCACCTTGGCCAAAGTATATTTCAAGCACATTTAACCTGTACACCAACACTTGCTGCCTTTGAAGGGGCTATATGATCTTTTTAGCAATAGGGATTTTGTGCTGTAAATGTTCCCTTTTGTGTGGCACTCGCTGTAAGGCCACAATAATGATGAATATGACAAGCACACCCACTCTGCAAAGTGACAAAGGAATTAATTTTATTTTCAACTTTTTGAAATTACTTTTTGGCAAGTGATTCTTCAAGGGCATCCAGATTCAACTTGCATGACAAAAAGTACTTTTTTCCTCTGGCAAAGGATAAGCTTGATGTATGTTTCCATGAAACTTTTTGAGTAAATTTTACAGATGGCTCTCAAATTATAATTTTTGTATCAACTAAGTTTTTTTTTTTTTGGGTCAATTGAACCATTGAACTTTCTGTTGGTGTTAATTGATACAAAAAAAAGTTCAACGACTTAATTGTCGTAGAGTTATAGTTTGAAGGTCATATATGTGTAGTTTATTCTAACCATTTGCGTCACATGAGTGACAAACTTCGTCACTTTCAATTAGAAAATCTAACGGAGATAGATAGAAAGATTCAATTAGTACAATTAAAGAATTTAGAGACTCAATTGACACCAAAAATAAAAAATTTATGAGCTTAATTGACACAAATATCATAATTGGAAGACTATATATTTAAGGGAAATTTAAAATGCAGTACAAAAAATTGGATTTAATTGAGTTAAACTACATTAAGGAAACTTTTTTTTTTGGAAAGTACATTAAGGAAACTTATTTAGCCTTAAATGTATTTTTTTGAAAAAAAAAAACTAAAAGACCATTCATTACTCCATTGTTCTCTCTCTCCCTTCTCTCTCCGTTACTCTCTCTCCCTCCTCTCTCTATTACTCTCTCACTCTTCCATTTTTTCTCTCTATCTATCTCTTATTCTCTCTCCCCCATTGATAATTTATTTTCTTTTCAAATATAAAGATTTTATTTTATTTTTTCATCTCTCTCCCCTTATTTTCTCTCACTATTACTCTCTTTCTCTCTCGCTGTCCTAATATCAACGTTATAATAAAATAATTACACGAATTACAATAATTAGTTACACTTACCATATAATACACTAAACATATATGTTCTAAAAAATCAAACAATTACACCAAATAATTATACGAAATTATAATACCAACTCAATTTGTCATTCAGTTGTTTATAAAAATCAAAGAGTTACATTATTTAGTATTATGACATGATTATACCAATTATATATACAAAATTAGGTTTATCATTATGCAAAAAAGTTTACCATTACACCAAATTTAATTTATATAATTGATGTAACCATGTCGTGATATTAAATGGTGTAACTCTTTGGATTATGTGAACAACTGAATGACAAATTAAGTTGGTGTTGCAATTTTGTGTAACTGTTTGGTTTATCAAAACATATAAGTAATTGTTTGGTATATTATAAAATAATTATAACTGATTGGTGTAACTATGTTTTTGTAACTTTGATATAAACAGAGAGAATAAGAAGAGAAAGAGTAATAGTAAGAGAGAATAGGAGAGAGAGAGAGTGAGAGAAAGAGAAAATATGGGAAAGAGGAAGATGAAAAAATTAAACTAAATCTTTACATATTTGAAAAGAAAATAAATTATCAATGGGGGAGAAAGATAGAGAGAAAATAGAAGAGACAAAAAGATAGAGGGAAAATAGGGTGAATATAAAAAAAAAGTGAAAAAATAAGGTGAGTGAGTAATGAGAGAGAGAGAGAGTGAAAAAAAAAAAAAAGAATTATTCATAATTTAAGGAAATTTAAGAAAGTAAAAAAATTCAAATGTCATTTAAATGTTGTATCTAATAATAAAATATTTTATTAAAATTGAATTTAATAGAATAAATAATTTATCCACACACTTCTTCGCAAATAAGTCTAAAAAAATATTTAATTTACTAAAACTTTTTTCTCTCCAACTTTGCTTCACAAATTTAAGTTGTGGGCCATCCCACTCCATGGCTATGTTATTGTTTGGTAGAGCTTAAAATTTGACGGTTTATACTTTATGGTTTTTATTTTTCTAAACAATCCTCAATCAATTGACATTAATCCACCTACTATTATGGAATATTCAATTCAACGCAACTTAATTCAATTAAACGTACATTTTTGCACAACCAATCTCTGACTCGTATAAAAAATGAAGATTGTTACAAAAATGAAGTCACTTCACAAGTTAATATCCAAGAAAAATCTAAATTGACGGCACCAAAAATAAGAGTTGACCTAAGAAAGTTTCATTTAACTAGGGTGGGAGAGTCACTAGGCTACAAGGGTCATGACCAACCAGTACTTATTGTCGATAAGCGATAAGCTCTATGACAAATGACAACGATTCATTAGAAATGTGTAATGTTTTATTGATTATGTACATCACCAACGGAGTTCTCTTCTCCGGTCATGACGGTGGCCCGGCCACGTTTTTAACGTTGTCGTTGTCTTTTGGTTAGATGGGTCGGCACGAGGAAGTTTGTGTAGAGGTAAAGGGCACCGCTTTATTAGGTCATGACAGAAAAGGTTAAGCATTATAACTGTCAGTACGGCTAGCCGGGCCAGCTTTTTTAGGCATACAAGGACCACATCAAGAACCAATAACCAATATCCATGCTCATGCCACGACAACTGACCGACCGACCGACCGACCGACGTTCGTTGAATTCGAACTTATAAAAATAATTGACACAAGAATAAACATTTTATAACAAAAAAAAAAATAGCATTGTTCATAAGCGAAAGTATCCCACGTGTGGGTCACTTGGGCCGACATAGTTCAAAGTAGTGTCTTGTTGTGTTAAAATTAAAAATTAAAATAATATTATTCATTCATAATATTAACATTTATAATCATAACACGTCTAAGATTTATCTAATCCCAACCATTTTACTCATTGAATAACTTGACTATCTTGCCCTACATAAGTTTCATGGATTGAATAGTTAGTGAAAGGAAAGTATGAGGAAGAGGGGTGAAGGTGAACTCTGTATAATTATAAGAGACACTTGGTAAATACTATAAGATTACAATAAATTCATCAAAATTTGAAGACGGTCCCCTCCCCATGTCCCGCGAAAAAAAAAGGTTTTCCCCACACATCGTTATGGATGGACAAAACTAAGGTTGCTTGTATTGGAAAAATTAAGGAGCATATATCAACTTAATCTTGGCAAAAAAAAATAAAAAATGACATATATGTATCATGTGTGTGGCCAGACTTTGACGCAACAATAAAGTTTAACCTAAAGATCACAAGTTTAAATCGTGAAAACAGTTTCTTTGCCTGTAAGGGTAAGAATACGTACGTCTAACCCTCTTCAAACCTCGCAATGATGGGAGATTTGTGCACTGGATACACCCTTATATGTATCATGTGTGCTTGGTAAGAATATCTACAACTTGTGATCAGTAACTCCTTCAATTTGCCCATCAACTTGGGCATTCTAGAAACAAAACTTGCTTTTGAGCAATTCTGTAAAGATCTACTGATCAGGATAAAGCAAACCCTAATTCCCTTTCACTTCTCACAGAGACTCAAGAGACTCCAAGGAACCAGATTCAATTCAAAAGGTTCATGGCCAACATTACACCACTTAAAAGGGAATATTATTTGGTGTGGTATCTGGAAGCCTGAAAGCTATTCTATGTTTATCATGAGAACATCCCTTTTCCTGTTATTAAATACTGCAATGCATGCATACAATAAAAATTATTTTCTCACAGTTGCCCTTAGCCAGATGTAATAACAACAAATGAAATGTGTTTTGAGTAAAAGGATAGGAGCAACAGCCAACAGCCGATGCCCAAGTTACCACAGACTACGATTATCAAACAACTGCTATATAATGAATCGGCATCTCAAATGAAAAGTGAATGATGCAATTAATAAATGGATAATTTTGCGTTACTTGTTCTAACCACAACATAACAAGGCAGAGGCCTCATCTTGCAAAACCTTCCACGCTGCAATTACATGCCTCTTTTCTGTCAATGGAGCTCCTACTGCTACGCGTAGTACGTATGTGCCAGATAAAACCTGAGTAATGGTTCATAAGCAATATGCTCAATGCATGGACTGTGAAGAAAATAACCTTTTCAATTGGAAAATGTTATGTGATGAAAAACCATCTATCTTATCAATTTTGTTCCAACAAAATAAGTGAAATTAGGGAAGAAGTAGAACTACCAGGAATCAATTTTCTCATGGAAGGAAAAAAGAATAACACAAATATGAGCATACTGTGTGGGAAATGAAGATTTTTCCAGTTGAGTTAACAGCATCCAATAGGTCGTGGTTCAGTTTGTTGGCACAATCTTTATCATTATGAGGAGGCACAAGGCGAAAGCAAACCAAAGAAAACTTCCTGGGGGCAAAAACCTGCACAGATTTATTGTACTAGTTTAGCCACAAGAATGATTTTTTTAATTTCATCCATGACACAGACAGCATGATCAAAAAACATACATAGATTCGTTAAATCTAGACTTGGCATTGAACCTTGACAGTAATGTTGTGCATTTCTTCAAACAATAATAAGAAAAGAACATCTTGGGAAAACAAAGGACACAAATTTTTAAGACAAGGACCATTGATAGGTTAGTTAATCATCTTGAGAAGTTCTGGGTGGCTTGAAGCCAACTGAGGATACATATTTGAACCCCAACCTTGTCCACAAGAGAATAGAACTTAGGGAAAGGTCGCAGGCATACAAGCCAACAAGTGCTGGCCTGGCTGTTTGAGACACTTCTTGTGCCCAACATGGTCAAAAGAATTTAGGAATCACAATTCAAACTTCCAAGCTTGCTCTTCATTCTATAATGTAGGAGGTTAAATAAAATTTACTCCCCTTGTCTACATTGATTCTCGTACCAAAACTTTTTTAGATCTAAAATTTGGACCATACACTTCACTGCAAAAGATTATGTTAATACATGCTCCTAAGACCAATTAGTATAATCAATCAAATGAGTTTGCCAGGGAAAAAAAAGTACCTCAAATCGAGGGTCTTGAGCAACAAGTTCTTCAAACTGTTTAGCCAATTCAATGTGGTTTCTTATGTAAGACTGCAGATTTTGCAAACCATATAGTCGTAATACCATCCATAGTTTCAATGATCTGTGGAACAGCAGCAGATCAGATGCGCAAAAAGCAGCTTCACAGAATTATCTAAAGCAGGTTCGGTAGATATTGTTATAACTAGTTAAGGAGAGGAGTGCAACTGTTGTGATCATGCAGCAATTATGGTGAATAGTAAGGAATCAAACAATTAAGAAAGCAGGAGAAAATAACACACAGAGATTTACGTGGTTCGGCAATGTGCCTACATCCACGAGAGCGAGCGGCCGTTCTTTTCCATTATAGAATAGGGTTACATCTTAAGTATTTATATAACCCTAATATGGACGTATTTACAAAAATACCCTTGTACCGTACCGCGGGGGCGTTGCCCCCGCACCCCCAACTAATCAGCGTCCCCTTTATATAAATTCCGCAAGGCAAATGCCGTCGCAAGCGGAGTGGAGCCCGCGACGGCATCTGCCTCCTTACCATTATGCACACAGCAAATATGAGCCACACATACTCTAACAATCTCCACCTTGGCAAATATTCACCCCTTAGAAGAAAAAAAAAAAAAAAAGGACATGTATTCGGAAACTCCACCGGGGACGTTGAGTTGAGGCATCTCCCATCTAGCAACTAGAGACATTAATCAAGTCCAAGCAGTGCTTGAACTTGTCTGTAGTAACAGGCTTTGTCAACATGTCTGCTACATTCTCAGAAGTGTGAATTTTCTCAAGTAATAGTTCACCAGAAGAAACCAGTTCCCTGATCTTATGAAACCTCACATCTATATGTTTGGTCCTCGCATGATACACCTGGTTCTTTGCCAAATAAATGGCACTCTGACTGTCACAATGCAATTGAACTCCACCTTGCTGGGCACCCAGCTCCTTGACTAAACCTGTAAGCCACAAAGCCTCTTTGGCAACCTCAGCTACTGCCATATACTCTGACTCAGTAGTAGATAGTGCAATTATAGGTTGTACCATGGACTTCCAACAAATAGGTCCTCCCACAAGAGTAAACACATAACCTGTGGTAGACCTCCTGTCATCCAAGTCCCCTGCATAGTCTGCATCCACATATCCCATAACTGAAGGGTCACTCTGTTGTCTGCTAAACCTGATGCCATAGTCTGTAGTGCCCCTCAAGTATCTGAAAATCCACTTGACTGCATCCCAATGCTGTCGACCCGGATTTGAAAGAAACTTGCTAACCACGCTGACAGCTTGTGCCAAATCTGGTCTTGTACAAACCATAACATACATTAAACACCCCACTGCACTAGCATATGGGACCTTTGACATGTCATGAACTTCATCATCTGTCTTCGGGCACTGAGCGGTAGACAATCTGAAATGATTCGCCAAAGGTGTACTTACTGATTTTGCATAACTCATGCTGAACCTGTCCAACACCTTCTCAACATAGCTATGCTGAGATAGCCATAATCTCTTGGAAGCTCTGTCCCTGCGAATCTCCATCCCAAGAATCTTCTTGGCCGCACCCAGATCCTTCATGTCAAATTCTCTACTCAACAAAGTCTTCAACTTGTTGACCTCACTCATACTCTTAGCAGCAATCAACATATCATCCACATAAAGTAACAAAAAATAAATGAATCATCATCAAGCCCTTTTACATAGACATAGCAATCATACTCACACCTTTTGTAGCCAATTCGGATCATGTAAGAGTCAAATCGTTTGTACCACTGCCTCGGAGACTACTTCAGCCCATAAAGTGATTTCTTCAAATTACAGACCAAATGTTCCTCTCCCGGGAGACTGAACCCTTCTGGCTGTACCATGTAAATCCGTTCCTCCAAGTCGCCATGAAGGAAAGCTGTCTTTACATCCATCTGCTCCAACTGCATATCTGAATGTGCTACTAGTGCCAACACTGTCCTAATGGAAGTGTGTCTGACCACGGGGGAGAAGATCTCATCATAGTCTAACCCCTTTTTTCTGTGAGTAACCCTTTGCTACTAGACGAGCCTTGAATTTTTCTCCCTCATTTTCTGATACTGCTTCTTTCTTCTTATACACCCATTTGCACCCTATTGCTCTCTTCCCCTCGGGAAGTTCCACCAACTCCCACGTCTGGTTCTTATGCAGAGACTCCATCTCCTCCACCATAGCACCCATCCATCTACTTTTCTCTTGGCTTTGTACTGCCTCCTGAAAAGTTGTAGGATCCCCGCTACTAGTAATAAGCGCATAAGAAACCAAATCTTCAAAACCATACCTGGTAGGTGGCTTGATATTGCGTTTGGGCCTGTCTGTGGCTATACTATGATGTTGTTGATCACCTGAGATAGAACGCTCTACATGCTGAGCATCCTCTTCTCTACCATGATTCTCTAGCTCCACCTGCACCACATGGTCATTAGTGCTACAGTTTTCTGGTACTTGTTTCTCTTCTTCCTGAGTACGCTGCAACATGGCTTTTTCATCAAAAACCACATCTCTACTGATCACCATCTTGTTTGCCTTCGGATCCCAGAGCTTGAAGCCTTTCACTCCTTTCTGATATCCCAGAAAGATACACTGTCTAGACTTCGCATCAAGCTTCGACCTCTCCTCACTAGAAACATGTACATAGGCTGGACATCCAAACACTCTCAAACCAGAGTAGTCTACCTCACTGCCTGTCCACACCTCCTCTGATACTTTCCCATCTAGTGCTGCCCTCGGTGATCTGTTAATCAAGAAACATGTCATATTCACTGCCTCTGCCCAGAAATTCTTTGCAAGCCCTGCATTCAACCTGAGACACCGAGCTTTCTCGGCTATCGTTCTGTTCATCCTTTCCGCTACACCATTTTGTTGTGGTGTCTTGCGGACTGTGAAGTGTCTCTTGATCCCATGCTGCTCACACAACTCCTGGAACTTTGAATCTGTGTACTCAGTACCATTATCTGACCTGAGGCATTTAATCTTCCTCCCTGTCTGGTTCTCTACTTCAGCTTTCCACAGCTTGAACTTGGCAAACGCTTCTGACTTGTGCCGCATGAAGTACACCCAGACCTTTCGTGAGTAATCATCAATGAAACTCACGAAATACATGTATCCTCCCCGTGATAGTACGCTAACTGGTCCCCAAACATCTATATGGACATAGTCGAGAACCCCCTCTGTCTTGTGTGTGGCTGTCTTGAACTACACCCTATTCTGTTTTCCAAGAACACAATATTTGCAAAAATTGAGCTTGCATGTCTTGACACCCTTCAATAGATTTTTCTTATGAAGCTCTATCATCCCACGCTCACTCATATGACCCAGCCGCATATGCCACAAGACTGTATTATCTGATTCAGACTCTACAGCAGCAACTCCACCTACAATTGTAGTACCCAGCAGTCTGTAAATGTTTTCTACTACTTTCTGTCCCTTCATCACTGTCAGCATGCCTTTACTTACTTTCATTACTCCACTTATAGATTTGTAACTATAACCATTACAATCCAAAGTGCCCAATGAAATCAAATTCTTCCTTAGATCCGGTACATGTCTAATATTACACAACGTTCTAACCATACCATCAAACATCTTAATTCTAATATTTCCTATTCCAACAACTTTGCAAGATGCATCATTACCCATCAGAACAGAACCAGAATTTACTGACCTGTAGGTGTCAAACCAATCTTTGTTGGGTGTCATGTGATAGGAACATGCTGAATCCATAATCCAAGAATCTGTTAAACGATCTGAACTAGATAAAATAGAAAGCATATCTCCGTCACCACTCTCTAAATCTTCTTCCACTACGTTTGCAGACTTTGATGCACCCTCTTTGTTCTCTGAATCCCCTTTCTTTTTCTCTGGACAGTCCCGTTTAAAGTGCCCCTTTTTCCCGCACTTGTAACACGAGACAGAGACGTCCTTCTTCTTCTTCCTCGACTTGGACCGGGCTTTATTGTTACCTGATCCATTCCGAGATTTGCTTCTTCCACGTTCCTGGTTACCTTTCGCCACAAGCCCTTCACCTTGTGAAGCCTCATCACTGGCTTTCTTCCGCTGATGAAAATCTAACAGAGCACCTGTGACATCCTCCAATTCGAGGGTTTCTTTCCCCCACATCAGATTCGTAACCAAATTCTCGTACGTAGGAGACGCCGGTAGGGAATTCAGCAACATCAGCGCCTTGTCTTCGTCTTCGAACTTCACATCAACTCGCTTCAGATCGCTGATGATCTGATTGAACACGTTGATGTGTTGGGTCAAATCCGAGCCCTCTGACATCTTAAGACCATATAGTTTCTGCTTAAGATAGAGCTTGTTCGTCAACGACTTGGACATATACCGACTTTCCAGTTTCAACCAAACTTCCGCCGGTGATTCCTCATCCATGACGTGATACATCACTTCATCAGCCAGACAAAGCCTAATAGTCGCCACAGCCTTCGCTTCCAATTCTTTCCAATCCATGTCGTCCATTCCTGCCAGTTGTTTTCCGTATAATGCCTTCACCATGCCCTGCTGCACTAACAAGTCGTTCACCCTCCTCTGCCATAATCCGAAATTCCCAGTTCCGTCGAACTTCATGATGTCGAATTTTGTAGAGGAAATCCCAGACATCGTAGTCTGGCTTTGATACCAATTGTTGTGATCGTGCAGCAATTATGGTGAATAGTAAGGAATCAAACAATTAAGAAAGCAGGAGAAAATAACACACAGAGATTTACGTGGTTCGGCAATGTGCCTACATCCACGAGAGCGAGCGGCCGTTCTTTTCCATTATAGAATAGGGTTACATTTTAAGTATTTATATAACCCTAATATGGACGTATTTACAAAAATACCCCTGTACCGTACAGCGGGGGCGTTGCCCCCGCACCCCCAACTAATCAACGTCCCCTTTATATAAATCCCGCAAGGCAGATGCCGTCGTGGGCTCCGCTCCGGCATCTGCCACACATACTCTAACAGCAACCATATAACTGCACAACCTAGATGCTCATTCGCAAATTATTGGAAATGACTAAGAAATCGGTAGTATGTACACAAAATAAAGCAATGGTTAAGTGTACACTCAATCGGACCTTGTGTTGATTTTGAAGACCAAAGTGTTTACGTCAGCTTGATCTTCTAGCAAACCTTCATATGCCTGCTAAAGTTCTAATTTATCGTACATTGTGTACAAGAAGGATATTTTCCACTCTATCATGCATTTCCTTTTAAATTTTTTACTATTAAATCCTTCTTAAACCTTTATTTTTGGGAAATCAGCTTATTGTAAACAAATGTCTGAACTCAACATGAGTAATCACTACAAATTGGGTCATCATATAACTGGAAAAGATTCTTAAGCAACTTCCAGATATCCTATTGGCACGGTGTATGATGGCTCACCTGAACCTGCGTCCAAGAGGAATTTGCCAATCTTTGTAATCCACAACCATATTTCCTTCAGAAGCCTGAAACATCAATCACATTAGGAAAGCCAGAAACACCAATCACATTAAGAGACATATAAGTTTGGCAATATCGAGTATCGACCATATGGAGTTCAAAATTTAAGAATCTGATAATAGTTGAAGAACAAAGAACCTGCACCTGGCGGAGTAACGAGTATTCAAAAAACAAATACCCATTTGCAGTTATTCAGGAAACAGGTCTACATTAAACCACTGTGTTGGAATGTGCAGGCCCCTTTTATCATCCAGGTCTAACTATTGGCAATAATACAACCAATAATGCAAAATTTAATTCATAAAAGGGTGTGCAAATCTGGGAAAATTTTTCCCTCAGATCAAAGTAACAAGGAAACCTTGAAACACCATCATAGATATTGTTGCCCAGAAATTCAAGTTTTATTTAGCTTAGTATGTTAAATGGCTCGATTTTAACAAGTATTTCATATCACTTGCATTTCTGGTGAATATCACAACCGATGTTTTTGTTCTTGTTTTAATGTTTTTGCCACAATTAGTCTAGGAGAACATATCACGACAGTGCATCAAGATGCTTACCTTGTTTTTAAGAAACTCAGGATTTGTTGACAGTGAATGAATCAGCGCATTTCGATCCTGTTGACCAGAAAAAATCATAAGAATTGAATATTTCACGTTAAAAAGGTGTAGAATAACGACTAGATACAAAATGAGTTCAACTCAAAGAAACCACCACATTTAGTTGCAAGAAAAAATCCTATAATCAGCCGCAATGCATTATTACTACCTCTGACCCCCTAGGTTAGGACAATAGTAAATCTGTTTTAAGCAAATGACGTCCCAGAATTGGCCAATAGGGATGTTACACATCAATACAAATAGTATTCAAATATTTGAGAAGCTATCAAAATACTCAAATTGTTTTAACATCATAAAGAGCGCATGGTCATCAGCGTTGAAAAAGTTTCAACTATGCTACATCTATGCAGTTTGTAGGAAAGTGGATGTAGCATCATACATTGAGAACAGCAGTTACAAAAGCATATCTATCTATCTATAATATAAAATAGGGCAGACTTCAATAAGTTCATCCAACGGTCTCAAATAAACTTATCCAACTGATAGAATTGTATACTAAAAACTTATTTTTTGTAGTAAAACTCGTTTTACTAATTAATAGAAGTTTGTTCTTTCTATTTTATTGAGAATCTATGTGAGCAAAATCTTTTCATTATATTTAATATATGATATGCATGTGTGTCTTATATTTTACATTGTAGATAATCTAGTGTGTAGAGTTCGGTTTATACACAGAAGACCAAATTATCGGATCCTTTTATAATATGAATATATGTTCACAATCTTAGATGAAATTGGACACACCATCAACATGAATGTAGTATAATATTCTGGCATAGTTTGTCTTGACTATACGAGATTGTTTGATATCTCGGATTATTGCACTAGTACACTTTGTATATTGAACAGACCCATGTTGAAATTATGATCTTTTACTGATTCAATAAAATAATAAATACCTTATGATTATTATGATTGCTTATATTCTTAATCTCGAAATATTTAATTAACATGTGCATATAATGTTTGTCACTTTAATTCATCAAAAAGTGAGATTCATATTGTGTCAATAAGCTCGGTGAATTGGGAGACGATATAATTTGTATAGTGAAAATTAATTATTAAGGAAACTATATTCTGGTATTTAAATAAGTTGAGTGATAAGGTCTCAAGAAATAAAAAAAGTCAATTAAATATAATTGTCGGTAATTTATTTAATTGATGGACATCTGTAATCTTAAACATGGAGAGATTATTAAGCATATAATAATAAGGAGCTCGAATATAATTTTGAGATAAGGCTCAAGAGATCAATAATAAGCATTTAGTGGACTAACTTATTATTAATGGGCTATAAGATGTTTGTTCTGCGTTGAACATAGGAATCCTAAGCCCATTGAAAACCCGGTCCTTATTTCTCCTTAGGGTTTCTGTCGTAATCTATATATAAACGTCTAGACTCTCTAAATCAGTATCAATTCATTATTCACGTTTTGAGAAAGGTTGAGAGAGAGCAGAAGCTTAGAGGTTCTTGTAGCACACACTGCATCCAGATTTTTGGCGTTTAGGGATATACAACAGAAGATCGTGAGATTCAGCGAACTACCTTCTGCGTCTGTCTCTTGTTTTCTGTATTTGTGCAAAGGCAAGATCAAACCAGAGCGATCTCAAAGATAAACCCTAATTCTGCCTTGTAGAGTTTTAAGAAAAATTTTGTATATTCGACACTTATGCGTTTGTCAATGATTCTTGGGATTTTCGTTCTAACAACGACTATCAACATCCCTCTCCAAACCATTCACATTAAATTTCCTTTCCCTCAAATCCATCACTTTTCACTTATGTTGCACCATACCTTCAGGCACCAGTTATCTCTAGTATCTACATATAATATATCTGATACCTCTCGAGACTCAAAATTTTAACATCAAAGTTTAACATTTACCTACCTCTACTTTATCAGAACTTGTGAACTTCTACTTGATCCTTATTTTGAGCAATGTTTGCTTAAAAATTAACAGATATGAATTGTAGTCTCTTGGAGTTCCCAAGATTTATCACCACATTAAGAATGACATGGTCTGCGTTATTATACATAATTTGATTGTTTATACATAAGTCTGTTGACTCCTCAAAATCTTGATGTATTGATACACATATCCAGTCCCAAATATACATGAACTTCGTTTGTTACTCTTTTTCAGACAACATGGAAAATCTCTATAAGGTCATGGCTTAGCACAGTGGTAGAAGCTTGGTCTATAAAGCGAAAAAAGATGGGGTCAAATCTGAGGGTGGCAATTTCGTGCTAAGAAAGCTGAATGTTTAACTTGTACACAACTCACTACCCTTACCACTCCACATTGACAGTGCCCGTAGAGGGTATTCACATTTATTTTAGCAAATATCTACCATAGCATTAAAACATCAATGATACATTCCAAAATACGATAAACATTTTTGAGAAGTTGAATTTTGTAGAATTATTACTAATTATAGATAGCAACATGGTGGAAGCATAAAAAGGATATGACCAGAAGCCTAATCATGAGAGGACCAGGATCCCAGAGCATGTTGGAAGGAGAAAACTATCCAAATTAAAATACCACACTGGAAAAGCTACAGAGGTTTACCCTCATGAGAGAATAAGGATAAATGACCGATTTATTTTGCATGCCATTTAAAATCACAATGATAATAAGAACAAATGCATGAACCACATAATGGCATACCTTAACCCAGAGCGCTGAACAATCAAAGTTAGTTAGAAACCATTTATGAGCGTTCATGTTAAATGAGTCAGCTTCTTCAACACCATCAATATAATGGCGAAATTCAGGGCATATACAAGCACTTCCAGCATATGCAGCATCCACATGAAACCAGATTCCATAACTCTGTCAAAAGGTCATGCATGCAAAGAATTATAGGTCTCATTAATATCCATAGATTAAATGTAAGACGATGGGAGGAATAAAGATTAATAAAAATGAGTCACTTATTTTATCAGTTAAAGTTTTGAGAATGTATCAATATATACCAAGCAAAGCTTTTTTCTCTATGTTTGGCTCTGGAGGAGTCAGTGAAACACTTTATACATCAGCTTCTGGTTTGTCTTGAAATTCAGAGCATTAACATTTGTTCTGATTTCTTAAGTTTTCTAGCTTGTAATGGAAAACTCATTTTCTTATGAGGACTAACTTGATATCTTAGATTGGCCCTGAATGGAAGTTCTGCAAAAAAGAATCTCTTTATGCATTTCATGGTGCTCTTTGACGGAGGTGAAGTCTAGAAAGTATAAGTAATTCTCATAGTCTGACTATTTCTATCTTCTCCTTTCTTTACAAGATCCCTCAAGATCATTGTATGATAACAAAGACAAATCAGAAATGATTAAACTATTAACATTATGCATGTTGGACTATAATTTTTCTTAAGCATGAACTAAGTTTTTTAAGGGAAATTCCTGACCAATGAGAAGAAAATAGAAAAAGAAATAGCAGAGGACAAATTTAACCTTCACCAATAGATCTCTGCAACATAGTGATACAGAAATCTTATCTTACCCGTGGCAAAATCCCTAGATGCATCTTTTTAACAAATCACCTTAGTAATCTTTCCCAGTGCAAGCAGAGGATCCACAGCTGTAGATGAAGTAGTACCAACCTGCAAGCACATATTCAGGGCTTCTTTAGTTAAATGACATTCCATAACATACAACATTAAGTGGCAATATGACAACCTGCAACTTGGTAAGCAAATCTATAGTACTCCAAACTAGAGATTCAGTTCAAAATAAATTTTACGCATACAAGATTTTTGTGTCATACTAGAAGTACATCATCTGATTCTGCAGCATCATTATGTGATAGCAATAATTTTCAAGTGCTTAACTAATCAACTCAGAGATGTTCAAAAAATGCTAATCAACTCAAACAATTTCTGGTCTGAAACATGAAACACCATCACTTTTGTTTTTTCTCATCGACAACAGTGTGCTCTGCAAATAACATCAACCAAGGCTTTTTCTTGAATGCAGCAGGGGAATGCATTCATAAGTGATGTAAAAAGATGGGGGATTGAAATTGACATCCATTCTAAGCCACTGGGAACAAGAAACACCAGAAGATTCACCTGAGTGTTATAACACAAGTTATCCTGCAGATATATGTCTACCAATACTTCACATAGAGTATCTAAAATTCATTTTTCCTAACCCTCAAGAGTCACAATCGATCACTAAACTTGAGCATATGCTTCTCCGAGTTATGCAAATTACAATTCATTGAAGATTCTAAATTTTCCTTAAAATGATTCATAAACAAGAAAATATCAACATACAAAGACGTTTAAGGAAAATAAGATAAGTCAAGCAAGGAGTGTTGTCTTCCTTTGAAATATTTGTAATTGAAAAAAAAAATGATAACATATTGATTCTATGAAAATCTTATTTTAAAATTCAAATTTCAAAGGTAACATAAGAGTGAAATTTTAAAATCCAAAGGTGGCATAAGCAACAAAAGGGTGATTGACATCTAGTATACTCCAGCAAAGTCACAAGACTAAGAGAGAATTTAGTTATTTCTGAATTTCCTATTGTGAACATCAATTTTTGAATTAAGAAATGCCAAAATTTGACTAGGACCAAGAACTACAGGGAATCTCCATCCTATCACTATTACATATCAGAAACAGGCCAAGAAAAATAAGTGAATTTCCAGTTAAAAGGAATCATGTAACACATCTACTGGGTAATAAAAGAAAATTCCAGCCCAATAAAGCATTTGTATATTATATTTGGAACACGACAGGAGAAAGATGCAGCACAAATTGGCATTCGAAGTTTTTTTTTTTTTTTTGGTATCTTACAGTAGCACATAAGAAAAAGGGGATTAAACCCGTGGCAATGTCACATGCAATTGCTTCATTGAGTGCATCTGGAGAAAGAGCATATTCAGTGGAAGAATCTGTTTTGAGCACCCGACAGTTCTCTGGATAAATTCCTCCTATCTGCGATAAATAACAAGAGAACAATTAACAAAGGTCACATATTTGTAAGATGAAGTTCAATGCCTGAACTAAGCACATGCACTGACTGAGAAAAAAAAAGAAACGAAAAGATAAAAAAGAACCTGCATGTTCAGAGTACAACTACATAACCCACATAATTATGTATACCCTACTTAAAACCAACCCCCAATATGTTCATATAAAATAGGAAAATTTGGCATGCGCCACCGGCACAACTAAATGACCTTGAAATTGATTGCATTCAGGCACATCTCAAGGTTTATGCCTCAAACACCTACAGAAAATACCAAAGGAATTGCACCTTATTTATTACCTATTGTGCTAATTGTAACCAAATATGACTGCCAGCGATGATAAGAGCAGAATAACTATCCAGCCTCGTAAGTTGATTCAGCTTGGTGACATTTACATACTGAAAAGATAGTGATCCATCAAGAGGAGTCCCCACAACTTGCTTAATGAGGAACCATGAGCACAAGTATCAAACAATGAAATAGAAGACTATTGAAAGATTAAGTCAATGGTAGAGTGTCCCCTTGATAATTGTGCCGTTATGCCTAGGCTGTGAGGCAGAATAGTAGATTGGAATGAATAATTATTGAAGGGTAAGGTTAATCAAAACGAGTAGCATTTGAGGTTTTTTACGACTGCCCTTACTAAACACATATCAAAATGTTTGTCTACTCCCAAGGAATCAGCTTGTAGGCATCCAGAATGCTGGAATTATGATATCCACATTAAAGCAATCAATACATACTATTATTTTAATGCTTCGGCAGAACAATTTTACTGATAAGGGCCTGCAGTATGGCTCCATTGTATATATGAAGAACCTTATGCATATACAAATACTTTACTACCTTATGAGAATGAAACTATAAATTCTTACTCACGATGCATCTTTTTGGAGAGCCGTATCAATCTATAGCTCTTCCAGCAAAAGAAAAGAGACAAATAATAGTTCTGTCAACTGAACCCCCCCCCCTTCTCTTCCGAATTTCATCCAATTTAAATTTCATCATTCTCGTCTGATCCTAGCATGATTATGCTCAATTTTCTTTTTGTTTAAATTTCAGCTTAGCATTCATCATTCCTAAAAAGTTGGTAACACTTTTGGCCTAGAAAAGGAACTGAAAAAAAAAACAGAGCACTGCTGAATAAGGAATAAATTCATTTTATGACCCATTCAAATGATTATGTTAAATTGTGCAATCTCCATTGGTTGCAACAATACTGAGCGATGAATTCTATATTTTACAGATTGATCATGGAAATTCAAATATCACTCCAGAAGGATAGAAATCATAATTTAAGGATAAAAGATTTAACTTTTTGTAGATACCTGGCAGGCTTTCTGTACAGCAGAATGAGTTTGATCAGAAGAATAAACCACAAGCTTTCAAGGGCATCTTTTCCAACACTTCTCAAAACTTTTTCACGGGCAGCCAGTAGTACAACTAGAACAGCTTCACTTGCTGTGCCCTGTATTACCCCACCACCTTGCCCTGTAACATGGTTCCCAACACAAGAACTATTACAAACCAAAGTGTTGCACCTAAAGCCAAAAAACTTCTTAAGATGTTCAAGCAATCTGAACCACATAACCACCACCACCACCAAAAAAAAAAAAAAAGAAAAGAAAAAAAATTAACAAACCGATTAGGACTCGGTCTGAGCAATAGTTGACATTGAAAAGAATATACTAAATGTTATTTTCCTCAAGAAAGAAGCAAAATGCAAAGACTTTATACAAAGAAAAAGGCTTAAACTTCCCATATTATTAAATTACGGCAAATTTTACCAATGAAACCCTTACCTGTTGAAAGGAAATTGTCAGGAAGCTTAAGTAATTTAGCAAGCCAATCCAAAACAATCATTTCAAGTTCTGTGGCTGCAGGAGAAGTTATCCAGCTGAATCCCACCATATTAATTCCGGCACTGAGCATTTCTCCCAAAAACCCCGCAACACTGCTATTAGAAGGATAATATGCAAAAAATCAGGGCTTTGCCAATGGGTCACCCCAGGAAATATTTTTGCCTGAACATCTGCAAGCACATACAGAATTAGAACCTTAGCATGAAAAAGAATATTCTGATTAAATGGCCAAACACATGAGAAACCAATTGAGAAACTTACCGTCAAGAACATCTTGCAAGGTTTCAGGGCGTGTAGGTGCAGCATCTGGCAGTAGTTTGCATAGATACCCAGGCTACATAAAAATTCCATCTTGGGGGTAACTAACAATGCAGATACTATAGACAGCAGAAGTAAGAAAGCATGCATATTGAAGGCTTGAATTTATAATTATTAGTTAACAAAAGATGGAACATATTAAGACATTATTAGCAATCCCGTTTTCATTGCTCTGGTACGAAAGCAACCCATAAAGGTCAATTAAAGAAACCGGCACAGCATACACACAGAGAGAAGATGCTTTAATTTTAATGTATTTCAGTTGTTTACTTCAAGGAAACCCATAACGATTGACTGTTAAAGAGACTCACGGAAATATTTGAAGAAAGAGAAATACAGGTAAAGGAGAAAGAACATGACAGAGATTCAAGTACACCCCAATTTGGCTTGGAACAGGTGAATTCTCAATGTTCTTGTAGTAATCAGAGAGATGCTTGACTGCAATATTTTTTGCGGTATATCATTCATTAAACTTCAAAGTACCCATAAAGATTGACAGTAAAATATGAAGAAAGAGAGAACATGTAGAGAATGTACATGGAAAACCACCTAAAGATTGACTGTAAAAAGAACCCACGGAACATATGAGGAAAGAAATATATAGGTAGATAAATTTTCTAGTTAGAGAAGAAGAGAGTTCACAATCCTCCGAAAGTCCAAATAATCGTTTCTCTTTCATTATCTTTTGAAACCACTGTTACATGATAACAAGAAAGAAGAAAGAAGAAGGAAGAGGGTAGATATTCAAGTACACCTCAACTTGGCTGAGGACAGGGAAATTCTCGATGTTCTTGTAGTAATCAGCAATGAAATCTACCATCTTGTGAGCGTTCTCTCTCAGTTGTTCTGCATCCATTGGCTTCAATTCACCTTCCCTAGTAATTTCAAATCAAAGAAACATAATATCAGACATAAATCATCCACAGCACCATACCAATGGAAAGATTTAGAACGTTCTACACACAGTCTCTGTGAGAAAGACTCTGACTTACATCTTCTGGTACGAGGAGGGAAGAGTTCAACTGAGAATGTAGAGGTTTGGCCTCTTTCTCTCGTGGGTAACGAGGGGATCAAAATGGGTTAGAGAGGGAGAAAGAGAAAATAAAGCTCTGAGCGAGACGGCAATGGGAGCCGTTGAGACTCTCTGAGGAATGTGTTTGAATGTTTGCGTTCGTCGTCTCTCTATATTCGTGGAGGGCTAGCTGCCACAATGGAATTAAAATATCAATGGAAGTGCCGAAAGTATTAAGGTACGTTTTATAATGTTTTTTTTTTTTATTTTTTTTTAATAAAATAAAAAATAGAAATAATTTTTTTTATGATAAAAATTAAAAATATAAAACATGCTTATATTTATTTATATTTAAAAAAAATATGAAAAAAAATATTTGGTATTATAAGAATGTTTTTCATTATTTATTATTGATGGGTCAGACCAAAGGTCCAACTTGTGTTATAAGTCCGGTCCGAATTTATAGCTCGATTCTAAGAGATCCAACAAATTCAACCCAATGTGGTCAACTCAATCAAGCTCATCAGGCTCAAGGAGCTACTACATCAGCAAGGAGTAGACAAAGTCATCCAAGTGTCTCCTCCTCTACCCACCTTGGAGTAAAGGTCATCCAAGAGTCTTCTCTACGCCACCAAAAGAGCATCTAGGAGCCTCACT